CAGTGCTGCCGTCTGTCGTTTCCCGTTGCACCGCTGCTATGACAGTGCTACCGTCTGCCGTTTCGCACCGTTGTGGGCCCCCCGTCACCTGACCCATCGGCCCCTTCTCGCTTGTCGCCCTGTTTCGTTGGCCTCCCCGCCCCGGCCCCCTCGCACCGTTTCGTTACCGTCGTGCGCCGTGGTGCTCGGCCGCTCCCCGCTGGGCCCGTGGGCCCGTTCTGCCCTTCCCCAACACTGTGCTTGAGGGTTCACCTGGGACAATCACGCGAGACTCTCTATTTCCTTTAGAGTATTAGAGAAGGGCAGCAGCCTTGAGATATTATCATCGAATTCACTGGTCCTGGGTAACTCAGAATTGTAGCTTTTCACTTATCTGCTTCCAGTGAGTTTGAACTTGGGTCTGTAGTCCTTCGGGACATCTGTTAAAATCAGAATGATATAGAGAAGATTGCATGGTCCCTGCGCAAGGATGACACACATAAATCGAGAAATGGTAAAAAAAAAAACAAAAAAAAACTTGGGTCTGTATTTCAACAGTTACAGTGCGTACCAACTGAGCTAGGCCAGGGACTCTGTTGAAAAGTGAACACTCTATGTGGGAGTCACAAAAATGAGTTATAATTGCACTATGGGCCAAGATACACTTTCGAATTGCAGTTCGGGCAATGTATACAACCCAACTTTCTGGCCGGGTAGGGTGCCCCAAATGCAACTGCGGACTGTATCTTGCCCCATAGTGCAATTGTAACTCGTTTTTGCGACTCCTTTTTTTTCCCTTCTTTTTCGTTTTAAAAGCCCAGGGTGTTGTACAGGCCAAGGACCAGACCCACGGTGATTGCTGGCAGCGGCAGCCCATGGTTGTCCTGACAGGATAGGCCACCTACCCTACCCATCTCCATGTGAATACTCCCAGCTCAACCCCTGTCCCTACTATCCTACCTCAGTGTGACCAGCACTTGGAGGGCAACTTGGACCAGACAGCAGTGACAAGCACCAGGGCTGGGGCAGCCCTAGTGGAAGTGGAAGCGGACGAACCTTGATAGGGGAACTTTGGACGCCAGGCTCATGCAATCTTCTACACGCCCAATTCAGAGAGTCTACCCAGCAGGAGCACCTAAGCAAGGCAAGCCACCGCCCACAGACACATCCTACCCTCCTTCCCCTAACTTACCCAAGGGCAGGCGGAACTCAGACTAGCTGGAGCGACTTATACCCCTACCCCACCCTAGAGCTAAGCCATATATGAGTAGACCCCGTCATATACCTAATAGACACCCCCACCCCCGTAGCATAGTTGTGTGTATATGTGTGCCCAGAGGCTATGTATGTTTGTATGAGCCCGTACTCTATGTCTATACATGTTCACCAGCCATGTTTGTGTCTGCCCGAAGGCTATGTGTGCTCTGTGTAACTGTATAGCGAGATGTATGAGCCCGAAGGGCAGATATGTGTAGTACTATGTAGAGGGAAGTTCAACTATGTGTTCGTTGAAGAGATGACAGGCCAAGCTGGACACGAACCCCCTCAAAGTCCCAAGCCAGAATCGAACCCATGATCTATGACATGTGACCTGAAGACTCTACCATTTGAGCAACAATCGCAAATGGCACCTGTGTGTGATATGCCAGACTGGGGAGATCAACAGAGCAACCACAAGCAACAGCGACAGGCAACCCACGCAGTATCAAGACCGAACATACAACACCGTGGACAACTCTTGGGTGGTGCGCAGGCAGTGTCTGTAATAGCTTACCGTGTGTCAGCCCAAGGGATTGTGTGTCCAGCCTCGCTGCCCCCAATTCTCCGTCGACTACATGGCATCGATTCCGCGGCAGCCATCCACGAATACCGACAATGGCAACATCATGGAATTCACAACCGAACAAAAAAAAACACTCTATTACGACGACAAAGAACCAACTTTGATCAACACAGCACCTAACGGCCTACATGGCCGACCGACCACGGATGGCGGCAGCGATCTCCAACAGTGCGTGGCACATCATCCTTTGCGTCTCATCGGACGCCTCATAGTGCGCTTTTTGGACGGCAACTTCCTGCTCCAATATGTCGCATTGCCTCGTGAAGATGCTGCATTGCCGCTTGCTAGACGATTCAATCGTCGACGACATCAGTGCGCAATGGCGGTCCATGACATGAGAGATGGACTCCAATGCCTGCTGACGTGCGTTCTTCCGCTTCCCGCCTCCCGCCCCGCTGCCTACGTTGTTGTCAGACTCCCTCACAGAAGAACGCTCTTCAGGGCAGCCTTCACCTGCCGCCTCACTACAGACAGACTCCCCGCCACCCGCTCCTCGCCTGGGCAGCTGCACCCCCTCCGGACTGCTGGTGTCGGTGACATTGGGAGGGAAAATCGTGTGGTTCCCCACCATGCCTGCGTGGATCTCGTTGTACAGCGCCCTGTCCATCCGGAACTTGAAGTTGTGCTCCTTCCTCTCTTCGTTTGTCAGCCTGAAAAAATCTGCCCGGCCGCTGGCATTCTGAAACCTCTGAATTTTCTTGTAGTTATGGAACAGATTGTCCCATTTCTTCATGCAGTCGTTAGCATCCTTCGGCCTCCCCGCATTCGCCATCCGCTTCGACATGTCGTCCCACTTCCACTCTTTCGTCTTCATCCGCCCGTAACTGTGAGACAATCCGGCGAGGTGCATATCTTGCTCCCGCTTGCATCGCACCAGGAGCATCTGGTCTTCTGCAGGCCTGTACGTGGGAGACTTCTCGGCGTCGTCGCTCACGCCACCTCTGCTTCCACGGGCAACGGATCGACCACGGACACCACCTCTGTCGCGTCCTTTCCCCTTCCCACCCCGTCTTCCCCAAAGGCCGAATAGCAACGTTGTCGTCGTCGTCCCCCACTTCCACGTCTTCCCTCATCCCTTCGTCTGCATCATCACCGAATCCACCGTCGTCTTCGCCGCCATCGCTGTGCGCCCACATGTTGGACACTCCACGTGTTATGTTCTCCACAGCGGGTCGTGGACGTACCGCCGCTCTGCACGTTCCCTGTTCCCTCACTTCGGATTCGATCGGTGTTGTGCACGCAGGCATCGGCGAACGTGCACCGCCCATGCGCAGGGGCCCTGCTGCAACCCCAGTGGGTGCGGGCCAGGTCGGTGTCAATCGATCGACGGACGGAGTAGTCGATCCATGTTGTCGTCTTGCTGGCGATGGCCCGACCGCGCCAGTCACGGGTGCAGCGCGACGAAGTGTGGACTGCTCCGTATGCAGACTTCCACCATGTTCAAGGCCACGTGCCGATCGATCTCCGTCGATGATGAACGTACGGCTCGCCTCCCTGCTGCCGCCAGAACACAACCCGAACCTCAGATCAACTCCTTCGCCGTCGTCGTCCCTCAAGCCTTGATGCAGCAATGACGTGAACTTGCCCCCTTCTTCGGGAGCCGACCCGCCTGCTCGCACCGTCCGCGACCACAACTGAGTCAAGCCGCTGGCGAGAGGCAACGTTGAAAGTTCTTCCTTCTCCGGCTCCTCGTCCGACGGGGGCAATGGCGTCTCCCACGACTCCAGATGGGTGTACATGGACGGGTCGTACCGCCTTCGAGGCTCTGCCGCGGAAGTTCGAACTCCTCCTTGACCTGCAGCAGTAGCCGCTCGTGCCTGCATGCCCGCCATTAGACGTTCCCCTGTCGCCCGTCTCCTCGAAGCCCTCCTCTTGCGTTGTTTTTTCCACGGCCGCCACGACAAACACAAGCGGAGGAAGACGACAATCAGGAAGACGACGACAACGAGTACCAGCAGAGGCAATCTCCTCTGCACGTCAGCCATGAAATTCACCTCTGCAGCCGCTCTCGCACGTGACCACTGCAGATGTGTGTTCCGACATGCCTGGGACAGAGGCGCTCGACCTTCATATGCCGACAACCAGCACAGAAGATGACAAACATGCCTGCCTTCCTTTTGAAAATCGACCGTTGCAGCCCCGCGCTGGCCGAAGCGACTCCGTTTGTCGTCTTGCGCACGTCGACGTCCCACTCCGCATCTCGCAAGCGACCCAACGGTCCAGTACGGGCAACCACCCGCCCACGCTCGGCCCTCCGCGCTCCTCCCCGTCGGCCAACGGCTACCATTCCTGGCCATTGCCGCCGTCAACCCGCTCAAAACCTCCGATGTCCGACCACGGACCCGACGGACCGCTCGTGGACCAGCAACCCCGTGTGGACGGTGTCATGCACGCGACGCGAAGAGTGCATGAAACGCGGGAATCCTAAATTTTTCAGTAGGCCCCTACTGAAAAATTTAGGACGATTTTGCCTGGGGAATCCTAAATCTTTTAGGACTCGTCCTAACGCCGTTTTCACATTTCTGATCTCCGATTTCGTTTTAGGACTGTGTGCAACGAAGACGCAATCCTTAAAACTGGCACTTTTAGGAGTGTCTAACGAGACCCTAAATCCTATTTGCAAAAAGAAATTTCGACAAGCTTTTAGAAAAAAAAAAACAAACAATATCAAGAGCCCGTCAACCGTTGTAAATTTAAAAACGACATCCCGCGAGCTAATCGCGCCAAAATTCCCATCTCCCACATCAGAACAAGAAAGAAGCTATGACAACCGTTATTTATCGCGTTCACTAAGGCGGGGTCACTCAATCGTCGTCGCGGGACTTTCTCGGCCCTGATCCAAAAAGCAAAAAAGAAGGAAGCGAGGGTATCCATGCAACTTGTCTGGCCAACCCCTATCTTCCATCCGACCACCCAGTTTCCAACCCCCGAAGCCGCTTCGCGCAGAAAGTCGTGTGATTGCAGATAATAGTTTGTCACAACAGACCCACCATCTCCTCCGGTGATGTGCTCTATTCCTTCCATCTAGCCTGAGCTAGCCCCCTTCGCTGTAAGACACGTTATATCTACGCAGTCTACCACAACCAGAACTGAACTTTAGGAAACTTAAGAAAATTTAGGAAATTTTAGGAAATTCAGATTGCACAACCGAACAGAGATGGCAGAGGCTCCTCCAATACCCTCAGACTTCACCCCGGGAAACAGAGGGAAAGTGAGGAACAAACCAACCTCCCTCTTCTTCTAGGAGATCCCGTGAAGGGAAAAGACTCAAGTCACATATAACGGTTCAGAACAATGCCCAAAGCTACTCCTCCTCCTGAAAAGAAACTAACCCCCCCCCTGTCCCTACACAACCTCTGCCAAGAGGAGCCCCCTTCTCTTCATTGACCCCAGTTCATAACAGCCCCTAAAACGGACACCCCTGCCCCCTCAGTGACATACAAAACCCCATAAAGTACGCCCCCGCAAGGCTGAATTTCCCCCATGATTCCTCCTGCCCACCCCCTCTGAATAGAACAGGCCACTCATTGACAATCTCTCACCGGCTAAGAACAGCACTCCTCAATATCCTCAATGCCCCAACCGCCATAGCTGATCCGACCCCTAAGATCAACCCGGCTCCAAAATAGGACAACCTCAGCTCCGCCCCTCCCCTTTCAAGGGACCTTGGGTAACCCACAGTAAAGAGCTCCAACCCCCAAGAAGATGGTCCCCGTTGCCGTCCTGAGACCCCAACCCCCCCCCCCCCCCCCCCCCCCCCACCAAAAACCCTGAAAGTTTTGGAACCAACTTTACAGATTCTGAAGCTAAAATAGTGCCGCGACAGTCCAATTTTCGAATATGATTTACAAACATCACTGACAGGAAGTTACTTAGGAAACCGAACAGGAAACGATGCACAAATTAAGATTGATTATCAACCTCTAAAATCCCATATATGGTCATATACTAGCATTGAAAATCGAAATACAGGCTACAAATCTGAATGGTACCTGGGTAGACCTTCACGGTCAAAAATTGATTTGAATTATAGATCATGAATTATACACAAATTAGAATTCACTAATTCGAGATCTACAAATGAGAATCCGTTCAAGATTTAGGATTAACAAGGGGACCCGCCGCGGAAGCGCCGCGGCAAGAAAAGGGGGTCTGCGCAGTTCACACACCGAATTGTGGACGGTTTTTTTCAAATGGTGCTGAAAGAGCAAAAGAAGAATTCATGAAGAGGCAGAAACAGAATGTCTGGAAACTGAAGCAGAAGACAATGAAAATTGAAGCGTGAAGTCGAAAGCACAATTGTCTCCAAGAGTTCAGGAGGAATAGAATCAGCACACAACGAAAATTGAAGAACTGAAGAACATATAGTATAGTCACTCGGCATAATTCCGTGTTGTTCTTTTTGTCTTTCTTTCTCTGTTTCTCTCCCTCTCTCGCACATTATGTATCGTGTTGGATAAAAGAGTGATAGAGCGAGTGTGTAGAGAGGCAAGTCTTCAAAGTGTGCCCGATCTCCAATGGTTGCGTTGTTGAAGAAGGCCATGAGTGTGCACGGCTCCGATTCTGCTCCTTGTTGCCGGTCTCACTTCTGCTCGCCACCAGTGATCTCCCTCCCTCTCTGTCGCCCTCCCCTGTTGCCACGTGATGATGCAGAGTGGCTCCCTGCTTGTGTTTGCCTTGCTGCACTTGTGTGTCCCAGCGTCCGTCCAGCAGAACTTGTAGGTATGCCGTCATGCGGCGCAGCAGGAATTGCAGGTTTTCTTTGTTGTCTCCGAGCAATGCGTCGATGTTGCAGTGTTGTTGTCGTTGTGGCGAGTTCGGTAGCAGGATTCCGGTCTTGCAGTCTTGTTGGAGAAGCGGCAGGGTTGATGGGTTGTTTCTTTGGATTGCAGTAGAGCAGTCATCTTGGGGGGATGTTGCGGGCTTCAAAGGATGCAACTGCTCGGCGGACGAGATTTGTCCTGAATGTAGGAAACGGTGGTGTAGGTTGTGTGATTTCTTGGTGGTGGAGAAGCATAAAATCGTTGAGGTAATCCCATGTGCGAGGTGTATGAGGGATGTTGTATATTGCAAGTGTGTTGCGAGAGGCAAGCAGAGAGAGAGAGAGAGAGAGAGAGAGAGAGAGAGAGAGAGAGA